CAAGGTGCTTTCCTATTAGTCTTCCTACCAATATGACCAAGTTGCGAAAACAAGGTCAAACAATTTCTAGACTCACCCATTGCTTGACTTAAAAATACTCCCGCTAACATGGAATAAGAGATTTTATAGTTTGGCCTAAATATTGTACTGAAACCGCCTACTGTAATAGTAGTTTTTTACTTGTGCTTTTGCCTTTTAAAGAACCTCAACAAAAGGGAAAACAAAGTAGGATATAATTTTGGGTTGGAGAATGTATTTTTATACCGAAGTGGGTAGACGCGTCTGCTGAAGGAGGCTGAAGCCATTTAAGTGGGAATTTTCTAATCGAAGACATTGTAAGCTTATTGGGAGATAGTTAGTCCAGCAGCTTTAAACCTTTACGGTTCCAGAGAATTAGTTAACTTATGATGGCCAAAATTAGAGATAAATGTTGGTTGGAAGAAAACGGATAGTTAGTCAACTGAAATAGCCTAATTTCCCTGAATATAACATCTTCTGAGGAATAGCAGAATTAACTATTGAAGTAGAATAAAGGAAATAAAGGAAAATCGCATAGACATTGACAGATCTAATATTGGTAACCCGCGAAAACCACTACCTGAAGCTTAAATAAAAGTCTCCAAGGCCCAATTAAAGCAAAAACTATACAGCATAGTCTGAAAAAAGTAATTGGATTTATCTGCAGGGCCGCAAAGAACGGCAAAATGGAAATATATTGGTTTAGTAATCAATAAAACTAACGGAAGTCGACAGCTCTTAAGAGCGGATAAAAAAGAGAACAAGAAGGTAATAAAAGATATAAGAGGTGTTCCCAGGTACACGAATAGGACAAAGAACTCAGTGTGAAAAAAAGATCGGCTGGTAGCAGATAGGGGGGAGAACACAACTGAGTGGAGACTAATACGTGCATGTGCCTGTAAGTATGCGTTGCAATGCGAAGAGGTGGGAAAATATGGAGACTATGAATTAGTTTCAAAGATCCATGAGGCTATAGCCTTTTTTAAATACAGGGATATCGCTTCGATGTAGAAGAAAAAAAGGCAAAATCAAACTGTACATGGCTTGTGCTGATAAGCTGGTTATGCAAAAAGGGTTATATCAAGTAGGAATAAGCAATTGCCCAGTAAAAACCGCTAAACTGGGCAGAAGAATTCAGCTGTAGTAAATTGAAAGGACAAAATAATTGCGTGGGTCCAGAAATATAGTCGTTTGATGATCCTTCACATTTTAAGAAAAATCTTAGAATATGTTTCGGGGCCAGTATGCGAAAGAAAGAACTATGGATGCACAAATAATTGGCTAAATAAATAAACATTTTATAGATCCGAAATATATATATATATATATAACGATGAATTACTGGATGAGCAAATATCTAGATTGAAAAATTTAAGTATGTATAAGTTAAATTTGTAGCAAGACAAACGCAGACCATTAGGGTATAAATAAGCATAAGTACAAGTATGCATCCACTTAGCGCTTTCTTCTACGCACGTGCATAAGTATTTGTTTGTTTATCTCAGCGAAGAGATCACCGGAAATATGAAAACAAGAAATAAACATAAACAGACGTACAGTTTGTCCCAAAAGGCAAATGTTGGATGAGATTGTTGAATAGACTTTGATGGATCATAGAACATGTATTAAAAAAACTATTCTTACACATTGTGAAATGTACAGAGAAAGGTGACATCAATAGGGAAATTACATACTCCCATCAGTTCATGAGATAGTGAGCTTAGTGTGAGCATAAAATCTGAATAATAATGGCACTTTGTTCCGACGTGCCCATCGCAAGAGAATAGGAAACCAGTCAAGTTTATGAGATACTAACTCGAGAGTTGCTACGATGTAAAAGAAGCCTATTTTAACCACTTTCGGCGCAGAACAAGGGCACCTTATAAATTCCTCCTGCTAAGATAAACCCATGAAGTCATGAATAAATATGCTTTCCACACGATAAGATGGCAATGGTTAGTACTAGAATAGTACCAATAGCGAATGGCCGAACAAAAGAGAGAAAGCATAATGTTTGGGTCTAAGTAAATTGAGGGTGCACAAGAACGGGACTCTATGAAAGAGCTAAAAAGAAATGTGGTTGTGTGGTGGAGTGACAGAAAGAAGGCAAAGGGGCCGAGAAAGACGTATCTGTACGAGAGTGAATGTATAAGCTTGAATGTGTATTTGCGCTAATGAGGAAGCCTACTGGTCATATTACAGCATAGCATGGGCCTAGAAGAAGTGATAAATGATACATGATATATGAGCAATAAAATAAAATAAAAGAAAGATCACAACCCCATGCAGGCTCATATTAAAAACCATGAGGCCAAGTTTAAGAAGTATAAAGGAAATGAGAAGAAAGGCCGAGGTCTTAGGATAGATGATCAAAAGATAAACAGAGAAGGATACGAAATCACAAAAGCCGATGACAACCTTTAGAGACCCTATAATTAGATTTGAGAAAGACAGACTAATTAGGATTATAGTGCATGAACATGCAGAAGGGTCTCTTACTTATTCACAGAGCAAACAAGGTCAAGACATACACTATACAGTCGAAAACAGTTCGTAAAAGGCACGGAAGTTAGCAGTGCTTCAGGCCGACGCTGAAAGTGACTCAGTGCAGCAAAACAGTTTCTTCTGATAAAGTTAGGAATGCAGCAGGGCCGAAAACTTTTAAAGTAATATTCCAAATCGTTTATGCTTGAAATTAATAGAAACAAATTATATTAATATATAATTTTGTGTCATGGCTAAGGAAGAAAGGTATGGAAGATATTTCGATATATAAGGAAGTCATTTAAAGCCGAGGTCATATAAGTTAATCTCAAAGTAATCTCAAAAACGGACATGATTCCGATCGGACAATGGCCGGCCTGAGGTTTTTGGTCAATGATATTTTTGACCTGATGCCTACTAATGGTGATCGAAATGGTGTTGTTCACAATTATAGTAGAGTTGGAAATGATTGTAGTTAGGATAATTCATATGAGAAAACTTCATTGTACATAGCCGGCACCTTGCACACATCTTTGGTCTCAACTCGACTCCAGCCACAGCCGTAACAACTATGGACGCAGAAAGGGCTGAGATAAAGATGGTTGGCTTCATTGCTGCACTTTGGCTTGGTCTCGAGCTACTAGGATCAATGGAGTAAGGCAAGAGAGAGGCTTCGCACGCCGCGTGATGAAAGGATGCTTAAGCAGCTCTTTGGAGGTGGCCCGCTTGTCAACATCCACCTCAAGGCAGCGATCGAGAAAATTGAGGAAATCAGCACTAAGTTTATCGCGCTCTTTGATTTGAGGCTTACCGGTTGTTGCGATTAAGTAGAGAGCCTAACGTCCGTGTGTAAAATAGAGGAAAAAGAATGAATTGAACATGAGAATAGATAGATAGGTACGTAGAAAAAGAAGTAGGTAATAAACGTACATATATTTAAATACTTACAGTATGCAATATAGTGAATCAAACGCTAAAAAAAGAATCTGGGTCAAAGGAATATATATATACCGACATCAGATAAAATAAACTCCATCATAGTAAGGGAACAAAATTTAGCTATTCCAAACGAGACTTCAAGTGACTCAACTCCAGTTTGATTAGGCGCATCTGGAGACTTGCCCTGAGGATCATTAAGAAAGATAAGTCGTAAGAATGTGGTGTTAAAGTTGTATAGATAACCGAAAGAATAAAAGGCTAATCGAAGGTATAAAGACCAAGATGGTGTGGCCTTTTGTGTGGTCGTAGTCTCCTTTCGTTGAATAGA